CAAAATGGGGATAAAATACAGCCAGATCAAAGTCCTAGTAAAAATTGCTCTCCACACGGAGCCCAAGGAATAGTATAAAGTAGTATTTAATGATTATAAAGTCAATATTAAAACAAAACTATAAACAATTTTCCATGTGGAAACAAACATTTGCGGCCAGACTTCCTATGGTGGCCACCAATCCAGACCTCGAGAATGGTGTCGTGACGTCAGCACATAAGGTTCCACCCTAGATTCCTTGTTCTCAGCACACTGATTGCAGACCCATTTCAATCACCTTTCCTACATTAAAATTAAAATCAAGCCACAAAAATGCTCAAAAGCCATGCCACAATGGTTGTAAATCTACTTTTTATGCACCAAATGTCATTATGTCAAAAATTCAGTTATTAAAAGTAGCAGTGACATTGTCACTGTGCTGTACATGGCCTGTTCAGAGAGCAGAGCTGTGGGAGAGACCCAGGAGGTGACCGGTCTTTATAACAGGAAGCTCCTGCACAGAGGCAAATTTTCACATTGGATTACTGTACACATCTGGAAGAAATACACAAAGTAATCAAGTTAGAACACATACGTCTCTTGTAGTTAGACAATATTTACTTATCCCAGAGTTCAGCTCTAACTATAGAAAGCACCCTAGCTACAATACGGTCTATACTAAAAGAAAAAAAAAACGATCGGGAAGGTTTCAGTTATGTCTCCAAAATATTTATATGAATTAAGGGTAAGTTCACATCTATGCATGTGTGGTTGATGCATTTTTGCCACATATTTTGTATTTTTCATGCATTTTTAAAGCACTTTGCATTATTTGTTTTTCCCAGTGGCAGGCCATGTGTTGATGTTGCCTAGGAGGCAGCATTTGTTGTCATGCATAAAAAAAATGCATATACATGCGTTTTTCTGCAATTTTATTTACATCATGGCATCAATATGCATTGTGCAGCATGTAAAAAAAATACCTGCGCCTTTCCAAGAAAACAGCATAGATGTGAAAGGGACCCATAGGGAAATAAAAGTTAAATGGATTGTAGTGTGTTTCTGTAGAACTGCAAATACACAAAAAAAAAAAAAATAAATGTATAGATGCGAACCTAGCCTACACTAACTAAAAGCACATTTTTTTTTTTTTTCCTAGTTTTGGGTAGCGTGACGAGGGTATAGAACACCTGTCAGGTTTTTATGGCTCTCTGTGCCCCTTGTTAAGAGATACGCAACCTCTCTGTCCTGTTTACGGTTTTCACAGAGTAAAAGAAAATCCCACATTTTGGGGTCTCACCAGAACAGGAATAGAGGGGAATTCATCCAGTGGGGGGGCACTAGTTCTGATGTCCTGGTGAGAACCAGATATTCCCTCTCACTTTCCGTTTTGGCTATGGAGAAGGATGTAATGGTAAACCTACCCAATGGCACACACAAAAGAGAAACAAAAATAAACTCCCTTACTCTCCCCAAAATGAAAAAAATGTAGTTCTACTTTATTTCCCCTTCCCCCACACTGTGTACTAGTACCCAAATTAAATTCCAGTGTGCAAGTGGGAGCAGTATTCAAGAGAAGTGTGTTCCCATGTTTCAATGTTTGTTACAGAACACAAGTAACCAGTTTTTTTCCTGCTCTGCCCATGCATGAAGCTGCCACCACCAACCTCTTCCCTGAAAATGCTAGCTACTTGGAAGTATAAAAACACTGATTTGATTGGTAGCCAGATGAGGAGCACTGACTTCACTTGCTGATGGCTTCTTGTGACCAATTTATATTTAAGAGTAGATATTGCTAGCCACTCTGTTATACTCAGCTGTTTGCATTTTAAGGTCCATTCATAAAATGCAGGAAACAGTGTTTGGCCTCTGGTACATGTGGTAGAGAGTGCTCCGTGATTACATGGGAGCAAGTCATGTAATATGGCTGAGCTTCCTTCCTGGCTTTTTTGACCCCACAAAAAAAAAAAAAAGGCTCTGCAAACCATGAAGCCTATAAAGTTCAATGCATATTTTGAATAAAAAAAAAAAAAAAGTAAGGCATCGCTACAGATTTTGAAATGGACCACTTAGTATTGTGTTCAGACAATAGGAAGTCAGCATTTTAACCTGAAAGCACCCACGTAACCAAGATGTGCGATGGCAAAGATGGTGGGCTCCGTTTGTCTCACGTGTGCATGGATTACAAAGGTTTCTGTGCTGAGTGTGCTCCCTGTGCACTCCCAACACAGTGACTGAGCTCATGGTATCTTGTAATTATCGTGGGCCAGCGGGACCAGCTCCCGGTCATTTGACCTTTATGACAGCAAGTCCTTCCTGCCCCAGGTGCAAAGACCCAGTAAGGGAATGCCAAGGAAGGGGTTAAGAGTCAACAATGTCAGTCTGCATATTTCTGTCTGTGCCATGTATCCAAGGAGGGCCAGTGTCCCTGATGCCAACTGCACCATATTTTTGCTCCTATCACAGCCACCTAAAGCCACAATACAACATAGGAAACAGGCTGCACAGTATCAAGAGATTGTAGACCAGAAACACCTTTGAGAATCATGCAGAATCTGACTTGCAGGGGATGTGTAACTTGACATTTGGCAGATTTATAGAATAGTTATTGTATAACCGACTGTTCACTACAACAGCAGTGCTAGAATGCATCTGCAGCTTTAATGCAGGATGACAGTGGTGGCGATTGCTGTGCATTACACGGTTTTTTGTTTTTTTTTTTAGAAACAGTTTATTGAATTGTTAGAAAGTGACATTTCATTAAGTTATATTGGCCACAGTGTGGCGAAAGGCCAAAAAAAAAAAAAAAAATTATGGCTGAAATAGCTATCCAACGCAGCCCTATCACTCCTTATGTGAACAGGCCATAAAATGTAAATCGTTATAATACTGTAGTGGCTGGCCACACCACTGATTATATTGGCACATGATGGACACTACCCTGGCTAAAATCAAGGTCTAACTTTTGTAGGAGGCAAGAATTCTTTGCATTACTATAGCTCCCTAGGGTGAGGTTAACATATGGTAACACCACGAGTGCAATACCAGGCCATGGATATTTTTTCAATTATTAGGAAAGTGTTGCTCAAAACAAAAATTTCCAATACTATAATGAACCAACCAGCATAAAAAAAAAAAAAAAAAAAAAAAAAAAAAAAAAAAAAAAAAAAAAAAAAAAAAAATGGGGAGAACGAGCCCTCTGCATGAGGGGAAAAATAAAAATAAATAGGTTAGGTCTCATCAATGTTCACTGGCCTGTGCTTTCAACTTGCCTATGCTCTTTGTGCAGGTGTGCTCATTTTTAATTTTGGGATACCAAAATCCTATCTACTGTAAACACGGTACAAGTCATCAAAGTGCTCTGGACTGAGGGCAGAAATGTTACAGATCCAAGTTACGTTACAAGTGGACCTGAAAAGAAGAAGATCTGCCACATTATCAGAATCCTATAGAAATTTTATTGTATAATTAAAAAATATGGACAGCGCCACAAAAAAACAAATTATGCAGTGAAAATAAATATAAAAAGACGCAAAACCTAACCTATAAAAAAGGTGTGTGCATTAAAAAAAAAAAAAAAAAAAAAAAAGTTTGTGCTAATAATCTCACCCAAATTATTACAAATATAGTCACATATATAACTATATAAATCTTTATAACAATAAATTAATAGTGTCCAAATATTGTGCAAAAAGTCCAACACCAACAAAAAAAAGTTATTTTCTGTGTTCAATAAACAATCTTCAATTAAAAAAATAAATTTTTCATGTGCAAAATCACCGTGCATCAATCCACCACCGAATAAATTGAATGAACTCAATGCACATGAAAAATAATTTTTTTAATTGAAAATTGTTTATTGAACACAGAAAATAACTTTTGTTGGTGTTGGACTTTTTGCACAATATTTGGACACTATTAATTTATTGTTCTAAAGATTTATATATTATATATATGAATATATTTGTAATAATTTGGGTGAGATTATTAGCGCAAACCAGAAATTTTATTGTGCCCAAGCAGTTTCGTGAGGATTCCAGCCTTAAAGATGTATATCTACAGTGAGAAATCTAAGGCAACCTCAGATACCAAGAAGCTTCTTTTGTGACCATTCTGCCTAATGATTTGAGAAATATTAGACCCAGTGGCTTTAGATTTTAGTCACCTGCCCCAACAAATTTTCTTTTTTTGGAGGATTTTGCAAGATCATTCAAAAAGGTTTTGAAGACAAAGTGTAAAATCAAGGTACTACTTTTATTGAACAAAGTATACACATTATAGACATCAAATCAATATAATTACAACTGTAAAAATTTGAGGGTTGCTCAGCTTGAGATTTACAAATTGGTAAATAACTGTACATTTAGAGGTCTCTGTATGAATCCCTTTGAGGAAACCACATAGAAATATGGTTTTCTAGAGCCCCTTTCTTGATATACCACCAGAGAACAGTCGTACAATGAAGGAAATCCCTGAAAGAGATAAATGCACCTCCATCAGATCAGTCACATGAAATATAAAACAATGTTGTATTATAACAATGCTTATAGTCGATCTAAAGTCAGAGTACAAACTGAGTACACTATTGAGGTTAGAACTTCGGTCAGATTTGAAATGCTGTCTTTGTCACCGCTGGAAAGATTCAGTTTGTCCTGGCAATCACTGTTGCTGGGACAGAAAGTAAGGGACAATCCTAAATTTTAGGTTGCCACTAGACTAGATCTTCTAAAGAGAACACTTGTTGCAGCAGCAGACAACTGACTTTTCCATGACTTGAAAGTGACTCAGAAGTATTGACGCCAGAGATTCAGCATAACAGCCTGACAACAGTCAATAACAGCTCCTATATTTCCCTCATTACAGCATTACTTTAGATGAATCAAGAATGGTAATGGGTCAAGTTTATGTTTAAAGTTACAAGGTTACAAAGTGGCATTTTAGTTACTGTAAGTCAATACCACACAAAGCCAAGACTGTCAGTTTAAGTATGTTAGCATTTATGTCATTCCATACCTTTCCGTCTATGCCTCGACTCCAACCAGCTCTGGAGGCAGTGGCACCTTTGGATGTTTGCTCTCAAAGTGTTGTTTGAAGGTTTTGGGATCTGGCATTTGTGTCTAATGCAAAAAAAAAACAAACACGTGTTTCAGAATGAAGGTGGAATAAACTTTAAATCAAAGTAAACATATTACTTAGCAACACTTTAGCATTTTGTTAAGATGTCACAAGTTCCCAGTTGTACAAAGCCAAGGAGCTAGAGTTGGCAATCAAAAGCGCCATCAGAATCCACACAGGGACACGTGGCAGTAGAGGGTTTTATCCTTACAGACCTTTTCAGACCAGAATCCATTTACTTTCCCCCCCAAATTTTGGACATTGTGAAGAATTGCTAAAATCAGTTGTGTTTTTATTACCATTTGTGTCCCCACTAAAGAGATTTCTTGTACGCTTGTCTACAGCAATGCATTTCCTAAGGTTAGGGATAAAAATTGACAGATACTACTATAGGGCGGCAGGAAAGCGGTTAAAACGTCTACAAACTTAGCTGTCAATATACTTCACATTACATAACCCTCTGGACCCATGCACATTACACAATTCAAGAGGTAAGAATGTCTGTTGGAGTTTGGATCTAAGCTCATGCTAGTAAATTTAAATTTTTAAAACAGAAAAAAGTGCAGCTGTACAATATAGATGTAAACACAACTCTGACAGGAGGACATCAAACATTTGGCCCTGTGTTCAGTATACGCCGAGTAATATTCAGGTTTGTCTTGGGAGTAGGTGACAAGAAAGTTCAGGCCTTACAAGAAAGTTTTCATTCATTCATCTTGCTCGCTGCAATAATGGCAACAGCTGACAAACAAGCTTTAATGAGGTAAGCTTTTGGTCCGTGGTTGTTCCTATTATGTGGTTTCACCTATGGAATATGCCCCCAGCTTGAAAATAGGTGACAACAAAAAGTAGAGGTTTCATGAAGAACATATCCCACCTTCAATAATAAAGTGTATATTAAGTAATTCAAAACCAAAATTTTAAAAAGTGTTGTCCAATTCCTTGTACATATATATATATTTTACCCAACCAAACCCCATTGTTCTTACCCCCACCCCGCATCTATAAACCTCTTCACATTCACATGTGTAGGGATATGAGATCATCATTTATACAATCTGGGAAGTAATGTGAGTACATTTGATTTAAAAGGGGCACATAAGATAAATACTGCAATAAAACAGAACACAAAGCTTTTAAAAAAAAAAAAAAAAAGAAAAAGAAAAGCGCGCTTTATTACTGGTGATGTTTTCATTGTGGATAAAACTGAGAACTATATGCAATACTTTCATGTACTAAAGTGGTCTTTAACCACTTTCCCTCCAGAGTATTTACCCCCCCCCCCGCCCCCCTTCCTAACAAGGCAATGTTTAGTGATACGGCACTGTTACTTTACCTGACAATTGCACGGTCATGCAAAGCTGAACATGAATGAAATAGAGCTTTCTTTCAGTGGTATCTGATGTGGTTTTTTATTTTTTGAATTATAAAACAAAAAAATGACAATTTTGAAAAAAAAAAACAAAAAAACCCCCCCAATATTTTTGACTTTTTGCTATAAAACATATCCAGAAAAAAAAAAAAAAAAAAAAAAAAAAAAAAAAAAAAAAAATTTAAAAATTTAGACAAATGTATTCTGCTACATTTCTTTGCTAGAAAAAAAAAAAGTCCCAATATGTGTAAATGAATTTGTTTACGTGAAAGTTATATCATATATATTTATTTATATTACACACACACACACACACACACACTGGAATTTACATTTTTTTTTTTTTCATACTAGTAATGGCGGCAATAGCGGGACTGTGGCGGGCGTTCTGACACTGGGTGGAAACGGACTGTCACTGACACCAATACAGTTATCAGTGCTGATAAAGACCACTCACACTGTACTAATGACACTGGGCAGGAAGGGGTTAACTTAACAGTGTGCCGTTTTACATGATGTGCTGGGGTTTTACTAGGGAGACATGCTGTTTATTTCTCTGCACAGCATGTCCTTGCTGGCAGGAGAGAGACCAGTGTTTACACACAGGTCTCTCCCGTCAGCTTTGCCCAATGTTCGCCGGGTGTCGGCTGGGACTCGGTGATTGAGTATATACTGAACGAGGGTGCGTTTCCCTACATACCATCTGGCCAATTGATGAATCTAAAATATAACCTTTATTCAGATACAGTCAGGTCCATAAATATTGGGACATCGACACAATTCTAACATTTTTGGCTCTATACACAACCACAATGGATTTGAAATGAAACGAACAAGATGTGCTTTAACTGCAGACTGTCAGCTTTAATTTGAGGGTATTTACATCCAAATCAGGTGAACGGTGTAGGAATTACAACAGTTTGCATATGTGCCTCCCACTTGTTGAGGGACCAAAAGTAATGGGACAATTGGCTTCTCAGCTCTTCCATGGCCAGGGGTGTGTTATTCCCCCATTATCCCCATTACAATGAGCAGATAAAAGGTCCAGAGTTCATTTCAAGTTTGCTATTTGCATTAGGAATCTGTTGCTTTCAACTCTCAAGATGAGATCCAAAGAGCTGTCACTATCAGTGAAGCAAGCCATCATTAGGCTGAAAAAACAAAACAAACCCATCAGAGAGATAGAAAAAACATTAGGCGTGGCCAAAACAACTGTTTGGAACATTCTTAAAAAGAAGGAACGCACCGGTGAGCTCAGCAACACCAAAAGACCCGGAAGACCACGGAAAACAACTGTGGTGGATGACCGAAGAATTCTTTCCCTGGTGAAGAAAACACCCTTCACAACAGTTGGCCAGATCAAGAACACTCTCCAGGAGGTAGGTGTATGTGTGTCAAAGTCAACAATCAAGAGAAGACTTCACCAGAGTGAATACAGAGGGTTCACCACAAGATGTAAACCATTGGTGAGCCTCAAAAACAGGAAGGCCAGATTAGAGTTTGCCAAACGACATCTAAAAAAGCCTTCACAGTTCTGGAACAACATCCTATGGACAGATGAGACCAAGATCAACTTGTACCAGAGTGATGGGAAGAGAAGAGTATGGAGAAGGAAAGGAACTGCTCATAATCCTAAGCATACCACCTAATCAGTGAAGCATGGTGGTGGTAGTGTCATGGCGTGGGCATGTATGGCTGCCAATGGAACTGGTTCTCTTGTATTTATTGATGATGTGACTGCTGACAAAAGCAGCAGGATGAATTCTGAAGTGTTTCGGGAATATTATCTGCTCATATTCATCTATATGCTTCAGAACTCATTGGACGCCGCTTCACAGTGCAGATGGACAATGATCCAAAGCATACTGCAAAAGCAACCAAAAGAGTTTAAGGGAAAGAAGTGGAATGTTATGCAATGGCCAAGTCAATCACCTGACCTGAATCCGATTGAGCATGCATTTCACTTGCTGAAGACAAAACTGAACGGAAAATGCCCCAAGAACAAGCAGGAACTGAAGACAGTTGCAGTAGAGGACTGGCAGAGCATCACCAGGGATGAAACCCAGCGTCTGGTGATGTCTATGCATTCCACACTTCAGGCTGTAATTGACTGCAAAGGATTTGCAACCAAGTATTAAAAAGTGAAAGTTTGATTTATGATTATTATTCTGTCCCATTACTTTTGGTCCCTTAACAAGTGGGAGGCACATATGCAAACTGTTGTAATTCCTACACCGTTCACCTGATTTGGACGTAAATACCCTCAAATTAAAGCTGACAGTCTGCAGTTAAAGCACATCGTGTTCGTTTTATTTCAAATCCATTGTGGTGGTGTATAGAGCCAAAAATGTTAGAATTGTGTCCATGTCCCAATATTTATGGACCTTACTGTATATAAAAAAAAAATGTATGCTCAGCTGCAAGTGTTGGAGTGGAATGTACTGCGCACAGCAATATAACTGAATACCATTGCAATGGTTTATCTTACATCCAAATGGTTGATAACACCAGGCCAAAATCAAATACCATACCGTTTTAAATGAAGTGATGGCATAAAAAGAGACACTGTAGTTTGATCATAAACCCATCAACTTGAATATATAATCTGTTAAGGAAATAGTTACCCATGGGACTCTGTTTTGACAACCCTAGCGGCGCGGGCAGGGCTGCGTGCCCGCCCCCCCCCCGGAAATGAAAATCACGTATATATCCACACGCGATTTTGCGCAGCCCTGCTGCCCCTGTAGCAGTAGTTCTACTATAGGGCGGCAGGAAAGCAGTTAAAACGTCTACAAACCTAGATGTCAATATACTTCACATTACATAACCCCCTGGATAACCCTCTGGACCCATGCACATTACACAATTCAGACCACAAAACCTGGAGGTATACTTTAACCATAAGTCCACCAACTAGCTTGGTTGCTATAGGCAGCAAAAACATGCCACTGCATAGTATCATACCTTTTAAATCACTATGTAATGTGCTGCATGCTATGGAATGTAATAGTGGCTCTAAAAACCTAATTTACTGCAGGCAGTTCTGACATTTGGGTGGAGAACGCACTTAAGTGCTATGTATAGTTTATGACAGGAGTCATTAAATGTATATGTTCATATCTAGAGCATCAAAAACAGACCTTCCCAAGATCGAGAAAGCATACAACTTGAATAATCAGCAACCTGCCAATCAGTATACATACTACTGCAAATACATCACATCTCTTTTCCTAGTCTCTGTTATTTGTTCCCTGTACCTATAAAGTACCAGCACATAATGCAGCACTGAGTGCGCCGTTCTAATCGCTGCAATTTCTTCCAACAGCTTTAGTGATATTGACTTAAATGGGACAGATCTCATCATGCAGCATGGGGTAAGCAGCATTTAGGCACTGCTAGCACAGAATGCAGTCAGTAAGATTTTGCACCTATTACCACATCCATGTACATTGTGTGCTGAGCTCCTCGGGGGGGGGGGGGGGGGGGGGGGGGGGGGGGTCAATTAATGTCAAGGGCTCAGTCAGACTGTTGTAGTTTGGTACCGTATGTGTGTAAGTGTGCATTAACTGCTTGCCCGCTGCCCTATAGCAGAAATACTGCTACAGGGAGGCAGGGCTGCAAAATGCTGTATATATACAGCATTTTGCATTTACCGGTAGGGGGCACGCACGTGCCCTACCTGCGTCGTCATTGGCAGCTTCAGCGGCTAATCACCGGGTCCCGGCCTGCGATTCCCCACTGGCACTCGGCGATCGCCTAGTGGCACTGATTGGGGGGGGGGGGGGGGGGAGAGGAAGAGGTCTGTATGTAAAGAATATAGATCTCTCCCGTCAGCTCCAGCACACTGCTTTGTACTGCAGAGCAATAGAAAGCAATGTGCTTACAGAGTAAAACACACCTACAGCGAAACAGCACAGTTAGCCCTTAGATAGCCCCAGATGTTAAGCCCTTCCTGCCCAGTGTCATTAGTACAGTGTCAGTGCTTTTTATTAGCACTGATCACTGTATTAGTGTGTGTCAGAATGCCCGCCGCAGTCCTGCTATAAAAACAGCAAAGGGTTAACATGTGGGGCGATAAAAGGGTTACTGTGCTGTTTGTTTCACTGTAAGCACACTGCTTTGTATGGCTGCAGAGCCATGCAAAGCAGTGTGCAGGAGCTGACAGGGGAGAGATCTGTATTGCTTACATACAGGTCTCTCCCCCGTCGGAAATCCTCCGAGATAGCCGGGTGCCGGAGGAGAATCATTGGCTGGGAACCAATGATCGACAGCGGAGGCCGCGAATGGCGGTGCGGGTAGAGCACGCACGTGCCCCCTACCCGCAACTGCAAAAATTACACACACACACACACACACACACACACACACACACACACACACACACACACACACACACACACACACACACACACACACACACACACACACACACACACACACACACACACACACGCCACCCTGTAGCAGTATTTCTGCTATAGGACAGCATGGAATTGATTAAAGTTTGTGATGGCAACAACAGAACAAACGTTTAATGTGTATGTAAATGATCCCCAATCATTCAGTGCACTATAAATCATAATAGTAAAATATTTGTGCTTTGTTTTTTTAACAATAAATATTTTCTGTAAATACTTTATATTTAAACCTTTAGAAAGCGGTCTTGTGACCATTATTCAGTCAACCTGCCAGGGCTGGTGAGGGCAAGGACATGTGACGCTGGTGGAAGCCACCAATCATAACATCAGAAAGGAGCACGTTTGATCTATTGAAACGGCTGTACATAGCAGGGCTGAGGAGGGGGAACCTCCATTGCTTGGAGTCAGCAAAGAAATAGGTTTCCTGTCTATGCAGGATGTGTCAGGCAGAGCAGAGGGTTGGACATGGCGTCCTGTAGCTCCGATCATCTAGTTGAGGGACACAAACTGACCACTGACCATACCAGCACAGGTCTGCTTGAGTGCTTGGAATGCTAAGAATGCTTCAGGAGAAGAATCTCTTGAAACTAAGTAAGAAGAGCTACATTAGCAAACATCAACATGGACACAAGACACGCAGCTAAAATAAATACATTTTGGGGGAAACATTCCCTAATGCAGAGCTTGTCAAATCCCAGGCGCCAGGTCGCCATGGAGACTAGAAATTGAGTCCTGGTGCCTGGGTTCAATGCAAAATCACATCCCCGTGACTTCAATGCAAAAAGGCCTCCCAGTGACTTCAATGTAAACTCCTGTCAATAGCAATGAACACTTATCTCCGTATGCCACTATCACTAGTGAATCTGGAACGCACCACTACAAACTCGCACAGGACCCTTTTCATAATTGCACTGTAATGCAGTGCACCAGTCACACAAACCGTTCATATCCCTGAGTTAGCCAAAATAAACGTGTTGTGTTGGCTAGGTGTGCTGGGGTACCATTAAAAACAAAACGCATTGCCCTAATTGTCAATCAAGATGCACATTTCCATAACAGAGCTGCATCGGAGATATGACATCACAAGCACGGCATACAGACTCCGGTACAAGCAGTCCTGCAACACTTCAGTCGTTACCAACACAGGAATGCCTGCCTGATGGAGCAGAAATGTAATGCATTTAACATAAGAACTGGGGCAATCATGCATTTAAAATTTGTACATTTTCCTTTAGGACTCATTTGTACAGATACAGTGGGGCAAAAAAATATTTAGTCAGCCACCAATTGTGCAAGTTCTCCCACTTAAAAAGATGAGGCCTGTAATTTGCATCATAGGTAGACCTCAACTATGAGAGACAAAATGAGAAAAAAAAAAATCCAGACAATCACATTGGCTGATTTGGAAAGAATTTATTTGCAAATGATGGTGGAAAATAAGTATTTGGTCAATATCAAAAGTTCATCTCAATACTTTGTTATATATCCTTTGTTGGCAATGACAGAGGTCAAACGTTTCCTGTAAGTCTTCACAAGGTTGGCACACACTGTTGCTAGTATGTTGGCCCATTCCTCCATGCAGATCTCCTCTAGAGCAGTGAGGTTTTGGGGCTGTCGCTGGGCAACACGGACTTTCAACTCCCTCCAAAGGTTTTCTATGGGGTTGAGATCTGGAGACTGGTTAGGCCACTCCAGGACCTTGAAATGCTTCTTACGAAGCCACTCCTTTGTTGCTCGGGCGGTAGGTTTGGGATCATTGTCATGTTGGAAGACCCAGCCATGTTTCATCTTCAATGCCCTTGCTGATGGAAGGAGGTTTGCACTCAAAATCTCACGATACATGGCCCCATTCATTCTGTCCTGCACATGGATCAGTTGTCCTGGTCCCTTTGCGGAAGAACAGCCCCAAAGCTGGATGTTGCCACCCCCATGCTTCACAGTAGATATGATGTTCTTTGGATGCAACTCGGCATTCTCTCTCCTCCAAACATGACGAGTTGCGTTTCTACCAAAAAGGTCTATTTTGGTTTCATCTGACCATATGACATTCTCCCAATCCTCTTCTGGATCATCCAAATGCTCTCTAGCAAACTTCAGACGGACATGTACTGGCTTAAGCAGGGGGACACGTCTGGCACTGCAGGATCTGAGTCCCTGGCGGCGTAGTGTGTTACTGAAGGTAGCCTTTGTTACGTTGGTCCCAGCTCTCTGCAGGTCATTCACTCCCGTGTGGTCCTGGGATTTTTACTCACCGTTCTTGTGATCATTTTGACCCCACGGGGTGAGATCTTGCGTGGAGCCCCAGATCGAGGGAGATTATCAGTGGTCTTGTATGTCTTCCATTTTCTAATTATTGCTCCCACAGTTGATTTGTTCACACCAAGCTGCTTGCCTATTGCAGATTCAGTTTTCCCAGCCTGGTGCAGGTCTACAATTTTGTTTCTGGTGTCCTTCGACAGCTCTTTAGTCTTCACCATAGTGGAGTTTGGAGTGTGACTGTTTATTGATACAGGTAATGAGTGCAGGACAGAGGAGCTCTTAAAGAAGAAGGTACAGGTCTGTGAGAGCCAGAAATCTTTCTTGTTTATGGTGGAAAATAAGTATTTGGTCACCTACAATTTGCAAATAAATTCTTTCCAAATCAGCCAATGTGATTGTCTGGATTTTTTTTTTCTCATTTTGTCTCTCATAGTTGAGGTTTACCTATGATGCCAATTACAGGCTTCTCTCATCTTTTTAAGTGGGAGAACTTGAACAATTGGTGACCGACTAAATACTTTTTTGCCCCACTGTACATTTGGGCATACACCACCAGAATTCAGTGCATTTCTGCACCCCCAGAAGACACAGGTGTTGGTGTACAGCAGAAGTGTTTGCACCCAGGGTCACTCGTCTTTCCCTGTACACTTGTAACCACTGATAGGTCTCAGCTGTACACCTGTAAATGTATATGTCAGCATGTCATCAATTTGTACAGGCTGCTGGATGCAGAATTAAGCTAAATTCTGACAGTGTGCACCCAAATGCATACATGTGCACAAGCCCTTCGATTTACCAACAACTATGCAGTGCACAGTCCTACCTGGCCATAAATCAAATAGATTGTTTAGACAAGTCCTCATACCTCAGCGGTGATGGTGTAAAAAGGCGGTTTGATCCTGTCTTCTCTGATCCTCCCCTTCTACTGTCCCCAATCCATCTGTTGATAGTACAGAGCCCTAGGAGGCCCTCTGTATATGCTCAGTTTGGAGTGTATTGCTACAAGCTTTAACTGATGCTTGGCCAGACACTGATAGAAGTAACAAGATTGCTATATACTGCTGAAGGGAAAAGCAATTTATATTAACTAAAATAATTACATTTCCGTGTTCTTTGGGATACCAGATATAGTGAATGCAGGGTCATAGGTTTAGTAACACTTTAAAAAAAGTCACAGAATGGTTAAATTGTACTTACACATCCAACTGCCCTCTAAGGTCTGCAACTACCATTAGGTTAGGGTCAAACACTGTATATACAATTTATAGTCTTGGTGGTTCCTTCACACAGAACATAGAAATACTCAGACTGTATCCAGTGACACAATTCTACAGCATCCACCAAGCATGTTTTTTTCTAGCCCTTGAATAGACTGTCTTGTTATGCCATAGAAATGCAATAGAAGCACACACTGCAATTGTAACCAAGCTCCAGAATGACACAACCCCAATATTTACATGTGTCTATATACTAGTCTAGCACGGAGGAGGAAGAAAAAAGGAAGAGGAAGTCAGACTATACCTCTGAAAGCACACAATATAGTGAAACAGAGCTTTTATGTCCCGTCTAATCAGCAAATTTCCAGACTAGTAAAAAGGATAATAGTAGGCTATATGAAAATGAGGTTAGACACAAGCAGTTGCTGCCTGCTTTATGCCAGTAAATGTTCTGCCAGATCAGTGCTGAGGATTAAAGTCTTACCCGACAAACAGAACAGGTGTATACTAGAGCTGCTTTAGCTGCGGCTTTCTGATCGTGTCCTTGTTTCTTCTTCTGTTCTGCTTGTTTCTTGGCATTTTTCTGCTGTGATTGAATCTTCTGATGTCCTCGAGCCATATCTGCAATGTTAAACAGTTTACTTAAACAGAAGCTGAGAAATCCCCACACTACAGCAGGTGCAAAACGTATTTACTGGAAAAGGAGGGCTAAGAGGAGGTTATGCAATTGTGAACACCTGCTGACTTCCATACACAAACCAAGATATGCTGTGAGTAAATTGTCCGGTGGATATATACAAAGCAGCAGGGTGGATAAAAATCAATGATTTTTTTAAAAAACAAAATAAAAAAAAAAAATTGGATTTTTTTTAATTTAAATCAATTTTTTTTAAATAAAATGCTTTTTGGAGAAAAATATATTACCATCCAAAGGTTATTCCATCATGAAATAAAGATTAGTTTTTTAATTATGTAGAATAAGGCTGTATATGTTTAATTTTTTTGGTAAATAAATTCCATGAATCCATTCACAATGTCATGCTCTTCCAGAGGTTTCTGTAAGATTATTGGGCAGTTTCTCTGCCTACAAGATATTATCACAGATGCTCGGTTTACGTTTGCAGTTCTCAAAACTGAATTGGACTCAGCGGAGATCACATGCCTCTTCTTCACAGCAAAAATGTTATAATATGAACAGAGTTAAGAAAAAGACCTTAATCCTAACTTCTACAAACCTATGAATACAGAATCAACCCCTTCAGTGCTAAGTTTCAAGAAGTTCAGTGAATAGAAACAATATTTTTCTGATTGTTTGGAGTGGAATAGATCTGCACAAGAAGAAAGTGAAACTAAGTGTGAGGAGGAAGGGGCTGACAGTCTAACGTTTCTTAAAATATATATATTTTGTTTAGCCAAATTAGTTAAACATGGATGTTTGTTTAAGCAAATAACATATGCTGTAATGTTATTGTTTCAGTTAAATAAATCTATTTAAATTGTTATTATTAAGGTAATGTTTATTTTTCTCCTTCCTAAATACAACAGAAAAGTTGTCCAAATATGAATGATTAACCTATTAAACTGGGGATAAAAAAAAACTAATGAAAAGTTGTTATTCTAAAAATCTACTTGCATATTAAAGTTATACCAGCAAGAATTAGTCTTTATGTAGGAAAACTAGGATTTAAATCAAGCCTTACTGACTAGTGATTTAAATCAGTTTGATTTAAATCAAATCCACCCTGCAAAGCAGTGAAATGAAAATGCAACTACTCACTTGGTTGTAGACCCTCCATTTTGTGATATGTGGTTCCAATTCCTACAGCCTCACTGGAAACACAAACAAGACTCCCATCCTGTTTGTGCTTACAATTATTGGCAGACTGCAACACAGTATATTCTATGGTCATGTCTCAATACCAGATTTCAGCAGTAGGTGGATTGACGCATGAACTCAAACTGCAGCTATCAGCCCCAAGGCCCCATTCACACGTCACATCGTGGTAATGCGAATTCCCACTAGTGTTTTTTTTCACACTTTTTTTGTGCAAAGAGCAGACCATTCACTTGAATAGACTGCCCTACTTGCTACAAACACACCAAAGAAGCTCCAGAACTATTTCAGGCATGGAGAGTAGCAATTGTTTTTTAGCACACGTATTGGTGCTTTTGTCACATCACATGGCAAAACGCACATCTGCTAACCTTGCTTGTAATTCCATTGACAATGGAATTGCAAGTGCAATGTACGTTTACAGCACACTTCCAAAGCGGTTGGCAAAACACTCATTTCCTGGGCACTTTGTAATGCATTCCCAGAAAACAAATTTGAATGCGGCCTAAGAAAGCTCAAAAGGTATTAAAGTCTCAGCAGGAATAAAACAGTTACCTTCACAGTAAAAAAAAAAAAAAAAAAAAAAAAAAAAAAAAAAAAAAACCAGCACCCCCCCCCCCAAATAAAAATAAATCCTCCCCCCCCCCCATTATAAATCCTCCCCAAAATCCCCCCACTAGTATAAATCCTCTCCCCACATACCCCCTACTAGCACAAATCCTCTGCCGAAATAGCACCTCCTAGCGCAAATCCTCTGCCGAAATACCACCTCCTAGCGCAAATGCTCTCCCCCAAATCCCCCTTCTGAGCACAAATCCTCCCACAAATCTCTCCTCTTAGCACAACCCCCCCCCCCCCCCTCTAAATGACCCTTTCTAGCACAAATTAACCCCCCTCCCCCCTTTCCAATCTTACATGCAGGAACTACAGGAGTACTGAGGTGGTGGGGGCTCTCTGTGCTCTCCCTTCTCTTGTCATAACAGCACTCCAGATTACACAGGATAGCTCTTAGGCTGGCCATACATTATACAATTATCTGCAGATTTTCTGCCCAATTTCCTTTAGATTTACCTTCAAACTATGTAGTGCAAGGGCCTGCCTAATTGGATACAACTGAAAGTGTTGTTTAGGTTTGTCCTCCTATTATATGGTTTTTGGTAAATCTAAACCAAAAATCTGCAGATAATTGTATAATGTATGGCCAGCCTTACATCGGACAGTACACGGCTTGATTAATGGGCCCTATCTGCTCCAAAGACTGCTCATCTCCTGCAGATGTGGGTAGGGGCCAGGTAATTAAGCCATGTAATCCGCTGCATGGAGGAGCGCTCCACTTACAGGATGGGAGAAAGCACAGAGAGCCTGCACCTCCTAAAGGCTTTCTCCTCTCTGCCGCCGACACTTCTGTCCCCCACCCATTATCCGGACCTGAGTGTGGGGATTGCGGGGACCCAGGCGTCAAGATGCAGTTTCTGGTCGACCTGGAGCCTGGGGTTTGTCGAGCCTTGCTTTCAGAAATTATTCAGCAGAAAAGCCCTTCCTAATGTCTTGTATTTTGGGCTGTAAGCTCCAGCCTGTTCATGAAGCCAAATTTGTGGTCGAACTCGTGACAAGGGTCAAGCAAATCCCAGTAGCAACTGCCTCTCTGCTATGCCCTCGCCCTGTCATTACTTTTGCCCCACTGACTGCTGCTAATTTAATTTCTCCTATATACACACACATTAGGCCCTGAAGAACAAGAGTAACCACAACAAAGTTTGGAGAGACTTTTTATTTATGTTGGAACCCTTTGTGAAGTTGCATTAAAGCACAAGAGCTTTGGAATCGGGAAACCTATTTTACCAAGGATCCCTTGTTTTAAAGTGTTACTAAGCCCAGCACCCTGCATTATTATATCTGGTCTCCCACAGTACATGGAAATACAATTGTTTTAGTAATTATAAAATGCTAAATAACTTATCAGTAGTTAGAGCAGTCTTGTGACTATCAGTGTCCAACAGAGCACTGGTTAAAGCTTGTAGGAGAAGTTCTCATTCTTCCCTGATTGTCCTTTGAGACTGCATAACCCCTGACCCTGTCTAGACAGTGCTGATTTGCCCTCTGTGGATCACATGCACTTTCCCACACACACTAAAAATAAACTAATAATAGTAAACCTCTAGCAATACACACCAAACTGAAAATGTGCAGCTTGCCCCCAAAGCTCTGTTCTATCAGGAGATGGATGGGGACAGCAAAAGAAAGAGAAGGATCAAACAACTTTTTTTTTTTCCACAATGCAGAGGATTAACCCCTTATGTTCCATTGTGAGTATAACAAGCATGCTTTACTGCATATACAGACTGATTTTAACTACTGTTGTGGCTTTAGTAACACTCTAAAATATAAGGGTTCTGAACAGAAAACAAAACCGTTCTGGAATTTCCATTCAAAAAACACTACAGAAATACTAATTTTTGTAATCCTATCCAGAAAGAGTAGTCATTACCTAAGCAAAGTTCTAAGTGGTTTCAAGATTTGATGTCAGAGTTCAACAGACGATTTAAAGCAGACATCTCAACCCTGCATCACTTGAGTGATAAGCCACAAGACTACTGTGTATATTGCCCACCACGACCTTACACTGTGACCAACAGGCCAGGAGTCTCCTAGTCTGCCATGCGATTGGCAGGCTACACAAATTAGTAGGATTTTCTGCCCTATCATAACTACAATTCCCATTGCATGATGGATTTTTTATTTTTCATAAAATCACCACAAAGAAAACAGAGTGGAGTGATCCAGAGATTTCAATAGGGATGCACAAAAACATTGGCCGAAAATAGCCCTGTCGGTATTTTGGCGACAGGAAAATTTTAGCCAATACAGATGCTGATAGGGGGCTGTGTGTACTACATATGGCTGTCATACTCTCCTCTGCTAAGGGACACTAAGGGGCAGGGTCACTGGGTAGTCACTGGGTGACCCCGCCCCTAGCAGAGGAGAGGATGACAACTCATTCTTGGAGCTAGAGTTGAGGTGGGGGGGGGGGGGGGGGGGGGGGGGGGGGGGGGGGGGGGGGACACGACCATAATTACATTTAAAAACCGGCATTGTTTAAATGCAATTACCGGCTTTTTTCTTCACTACAACTCCAAGAATGAGCTGTCATCCACTCATCTGCTAAGGGGTGCGGTCACTGGGTAATGTCACCGGGTTACCCCGCCCCTTAGATTGTATTCAGTTCCAAAAAGGCACGTATAGTAAAAAATATGCATTCTTCCTCTATTATATTGCACCACCTTCATTTACCCATATGGATCATAACCACCTCTGATGTTTCTTTCCTTTATGTACTTGTACTTTTTTTTTTATACTTCCTATGCTCGGTTTGTTAAATTTATGTAAAATAATAAAGACAAATTTGCCTTTAAAAAATATGCCACGGACTGCACCAGTTAAGAGATTGTAATCTGCCATGGGAAAAAAAAAAAATAAAAAAATCTCACACTAGACAGCGAGGGGAACTACCGTATTGGTTATGTTCAATACAAATTATTCAGAAAGTGCAGGAAGAGACAGGAAGTTAAGCTATACACCAGGAAAACAGGAAAAAAATCCTCAAACGAAAAGTCTATCTCCAGGCTGGAAAAAGTTAAACAAGCAAATGTCATATTTCACCTGCACAGAGATGTCAAAATGACTGCAGCTGTTCAGCCTATCAGAGGCTGCTCTGAGGTCACCAAACAGTCAAATAGCTTCCAGAAGGAATCCACCTTCAACACACATGGGCATAAAACCCCAGA